TATTACGCGCAATAGACAGTAGAAAGCTCTTTAGTCTCAGATGACTAGATCTGCAGGTCTAGAACTAGGTGACTGTAACAGCACACGAATGCAAACTCTCTTACTGGAGAATTAGTACCAAGCCAAAACAACTTTACAGTTCCACCAGTGACCTCGTCCATACGGTTAGTGGTTACTTCTGATATTACTATGACCTCTGCACTACTACTACAGCGACAATTAGGTTCTTACTTCCTCGTTCTACACCATCAGTGTAAGACAAATAAGAAAGATAAAAAACGGCTCGAATACATGAAACCCATTAATAGCAGGAAAAAATCATACTCACATGCTCTTGGCGTCTGCTCCACTCCTGCTACAGCTTAAGTGATCAAGTCATGATCTATGAACTTTCTGACTTTCTCCAACAACCAGAGGAGCGTTTAAAGAATTGTGAGTACACGTGTCTACAAAGAAACTATTTCATTCCCAGATAATAATACAGCTCGCAAGCGTATGTTTCAACCTCCTACATCGACATGAGCGTGTTACGTGAGGCATGCCAATATCATGTTTATAACTATGAAAATCTTAAAGAAACCAAACCTGTTTGTTCCCCCACCAGGCTGCAAGAGTAAACCCAAGATGTTTCTTGCATGCGAGGGTGAAATAATGCAGGGCCAACGAACCGCTTTCGCGGTTATGCAGGTGTCATTTGATCTTGCAGCATGATATTACTGAGGCGCGAACGCTGTCAAGAGCCGTATTCTCGTTTGTGAGAAAGCGGAAGGAAACCTGAGACTTTTAGACCAAGCCGCAGCGTGTATCATTGTCACAGCCCACCCAATCAGTTGGCCCTATACTACCTGAGACGGACGGAATGTACTAACCATAAACCTGGGTGCTCAATTGTGCAGAAACCTTTCACATCTTGTTCATTGAAAAAGAGAAGTCGCTATTATGTTTTTAACCAGAAGGAGAAATGTTTACGACAACTCTGCAGTGAAACAGAAAAGGACATGCTCCCATTTCTGGACATGTACCAACAACTGCGGTAGAATAACAATCTGGGCGGTAGTATTCCGGGTACCAGCAGTGTTACCAGATGTGTTTAGAGGGATTCCGCCATGTTCGTATCAGTTTCCGCCGAAAATCCGCTAAACTGGATTTAAATTTCCCGCCTAAATCCGCTAAACGTAAAATAAATTATTTTTCCATATTTAAATCATTGTATTAATTTATTCTATTAAAACAAACATAGAAAAATGATAGGTAAGGGACAATGCTTATTCTTGGTCATAGCCTAATTATTGGCGTATCTCGAGCCTCAATATTTTTAAAATAATAGTAAAGACCAACTTATGCAGACTGAATTGGTCTGTCTTTATTGCTTATCGTTTTAATATGTTTCTGCTCGACAACCTATGTGTCCAGCCTTTATGTGAAGATTTCTAAATTCCGCTTATATTTCCACCGTCTTTATTAATTCGCCGTTTATTCCACTGTCACGCGAAACTAATTTTTTTTCCGCCGTACGAGCTAAAATCCGCTGTAACGGCGCGATTCCGCGATATGGCAAACACTGGTACCAGTGGTATCTCCTCCACGTGCGCCATCGCAACACACTGTGCGTAGGTCGCTTTGTACGACCGCAAAACATACGCATTTCACTCTCTACGCTTTCAACAGTCATTGGCTCGCAGGATCGCAAGGTCACACTCCATTTCGCCTTATTTCCCTCGCGGCCGCCTGCTGCACAATGGGAGATTTCCCCCGGTTGGCAAATTGCCCCGGAAGCGTGACGCGTTGCCTAGATGCACAATCACACGCGTAATCGTCGCCGGTCGTGTTCCCTCCGCCACGACCTCGAAAAGGTTCCGAGAGAAAACATTCACCCGATCCGAATCGTTTTGCCTGGGAACAATGCAGAGATCTCAACGCCCCACGCAGCGACGAACTCATCAAAGGCCACGTGATTTCTTTTTCGAATCCTTGGTAATTTACATGGAGAAATGACACTTCTAACGGCACACATTGCTCCGTGGCGTGATCTTTTTGTCTGCTTAGTCAAGTCACTCGGCGCTTTCTCGCCTTAACAGAATAGCACTTCCGACCTATTCAATATAATCTGGAACGGAGATTTTTTTTACTAGCGGCATGCGAGTCGTGAGTCTTCGTAACAGCCGTTCAAGACCACCGAATTTGAATGGAAGGTGTAGTCAGTTTCGCGAACTGTGAGAGTCATAGGCTCTGTCTATCCTCGAGAGAGAACCCATTTCTCTCGAGGCAGGTGGTCATTTTTGCTTTCACTACAGGCGATTGAGAACAAGCTTCGATTAAGAATGTCACTCTCCGACATAATTTCTTGATAATCACCGTTGAAAATGCTTTTGCGGAGCAACGTTTTGACAAAAATACTAAAATTGGCTACTTTTCAATCATCCAAATGTATTTCCACATAATGTTCCTTCATTCAAAACCAATTCCGAATTGAAATAAGATTGCATGTTTTATTATTTTTTTAGAAACGTGTTAATTAAATAGTGTACAGTGATAATTAATTATGAAGACTGGAGGGAACAGTTTTGCATCCCAGTACATCTAGCTTCCAAGTGGATGCAAGAAGTTGCATCATGCCCGTGAGCGATGAAAGTGGCGGGAAGCAGGTGACTAGGACGTAAAAGCAGAGGGAAAAAGTGGAAGTCAGCGATCGCAACTCAGGGAAAGCATTGATGAAAATTATTCAACGCTTTTTAACATACACTTTTTTTCAATTTAGGAATATTAAGAGATCTGTGAAGAAAAGCTATATCTTTCTAAGAGCGTCAAATCTTTTTTTTAATGTAAACCGAAATTTGCTAAATTAGGAAGATGGAGATTCAACCAACACAAAACATGCGGAAAAATTGACTAGTTTAAAATTGTCCCCTTCATTGATAAGCATCTGACTATTTGAAATAATACGTTTGAAAAATTATATTTGTGTTTTTTTAAATAGCTCAAAAGTATTTATCTCAAGTGAATATTTATGTTATAAATGCTTGTTTAACGCATATAATAATTCGTTAACTTAATTAAACTAAATGTAACATTAAACAAATTAGTAGAGCCCCTTAGAGTACGTCCATATGAGAGTACCACTTCATTAGTACAGTGGAATAAATTCGTGAGTCTATCTCTAAACCTGCTGGAAAAGAAATGCGACCGCATGCACGCAGTCTGTGCACTGTGTGTTGCCATACCTATCGAGGGCAATGTCATTTGCGGCTTTGAATAATAAAAACATTCATGACGTGCAGCTAATGTTCGGTTTTGGAAGCAATGACATTTCTTCACCAATACACTTGCGTATTCACTAGAGATATTTGCGGTTACCTTGCGGCAACGGAGTGCACGCACAGAGTTTGCGAGAAAAACGACCTGCAGTAGGTTACATCATTGAAAATATTTCGCAATCGATTCGAGTAAGAACAGCAAGGTAAACTCGATGTCTGAATTGTAAGTAAAACAAGCATACTTCAAAATATTTTTATTTCAAAATATCGACTATTTTGGTAAACATCTTAAAATCTCTGTATAATTTATTATGGAGCGATACTCGCAGCATAATAAATTATATATTCTTGATACATAAAATGTATAATTCGAGAATGATTCGAAACAGATAAAGCGGTCTTATTTCCAGATATTCCACAAGGATATGGGTTTCCAATAGATACTCAATAAATAAGGCCAGACCTTTAAATGTCTGATTTCTCCTCTTTGATAGGAACAAGCGATTGCATTGTGGTGAGTTCGCCGCTTCAAAGTGGCAACGGTAAGAAAAGTAGGTGCAAAAATCAGTCTCTTAAAAAAAAATTACCGAGACCAATGAAGGATCGTGTGGGCCCTGGCGGGGCGCGCGGAGTCATTCGTAACTGTCTAACGGGGAGCTCGCCCAGTGAAGAACGGGCTCGCGCTGCAGGCAGCGCACTGCGTACGACCGAGTTACGCCCCCCATGCCGAGCGCACGGGACGGCGGCGCACAACTGTCGAGCAAGAAGACCGCTCGCCACTTTCTCGAGAGCATTTTTCGGCAGGGCGCTTCCTTGTAAAAGCGGCAGTATCACTGCTGCTTTCACGGCAACTTAGAGATCGCTTCAGAAGAAATTGCGTCCAAACCTGTGTATTTATCTACTCTACTGAAATTTATTTAGAAAAAAAATCACTTCGTTTTATTGTTGGGGAGGTGAATATCAGTGAGCGAGTGTGTTTATTGCCTAAGACAATTGGCTAAGTAAGGCTGTTGACTTAGGAATGAGGGTTTATTTCTAAAGGCATCAAAAGGTTTTAACATTTTTTACCATTCCACATTTTTAAAACTTATTTAATTGTTTTCTTTTGGTTGAAGTAAATAAGTGTTACGTACACACAACCATATATGTGTAGAGTACACTACTTAAAACAACTTAAAATTGTACAGGTTGAGAAATCTCTAAGTATGGGTCAGAGAAATTTATGAGAAACATGTGGAAGGGAAATCGATTTTTGATTCTAGTTTTGTGTGGGACCATTCTACAAATCAAGTACATAGAACAAAAAATGTAATAGATATAGCAGAAGATACGCAAACTTTTCCGAATAACAGATTATGTAGCTTATTGTTCTTGATTATTTTCTTTATCTTGATAAATTTTGACTTAATAATCAGAGAGACGTTAAACACGTAGCATTGTTATGCAAACAAAGCTTACTCTAAGAACTTCAATTGATTATACTTGCTGGATATTACAGCGTGAAGTGAAATATCATAGAACTACAGCTACGCCCCAATCTATAAGGGAAGAGAATGAGAATTTCCCAAAAACGAAACATTTCAACAGTGCTATCAATTGGAACAAGACATTCAAATGGAAAAATGTCGTCAAACTAAACTAATTATGAATCTAATATTTTTTCTTCCAACCGATTGATTTTCTACATGAAGACCGAAAGGAATGGTCTTTTTTTTACTTCGTCAAACCATTTTTTCTATTGTGTTTGGCTATGGTTGTGTCAGGCTGGCACCACATAACTCATCCCCGGTCCCTCGTCGTGCTTGCAGATCGCCAGACCGGCTCGTCCCCGTCGTGGTGGGGCGGCAGCGGCGGCTCGCTGCTGGGCGAGGCGACGGGCTCCGACTTCTACACGTCGACGCACGGCCTGGTGCAGACGCACCCGACGCGCGGCCGCCTGCCGTCCTTCGGCGGCGAGAAGACGCTCGACTTCGGCAACCGCGCGCAGCAGGTGCTGGCGCAGAACGCGCACCTCTCCACCCCCGAGCAGTGCGCACGCGCCTGCCGCGAGGGCGAGCCGCCCCGCATCTGCTACTTCCACTTCACGCTCGAGCTCTACAACGTCCTCGGCGCGTAAGTACCCTTCTCACTAACGCCTTTATACTTCATACTCTATGCTTATTATTTCATTCCTGCTCTTCATTTACATCTCTTGTCTCTCCTCCCTCTTTCCCTTCTCCTGATTCCTTCGTCACCTCTTCCTCTACTAACTACTCTCCCTCTTCCCCTTTATCCTCCTTGCCCTCTTATCCTTATCTTCCTTGCCCTCTTCTCCCGCTTCTTTTCCTTTCTTTCCTCTTCCCTTCCACCTGCTTCCTCTTCTTTATCTTCTCGTATGAA